GCCTTATACCCATACGAGGAATAAATCCCTACGAAGGTATAATGTATGTATCCCATGGGTTATTTGCAAAAACTCATACGAAGAATAAATTCTTACGAGAGTAAAGCATTCACCCCGACTAATTTGGATCGAAGCTCGTGTCTAGAGCTCATGTTATGCAAATGTATGTGATGTGTGTGAGGAGGAACGTAACTACCTTTGACTCAAAAACGAAAAAGAAAAAAACTCGACAAAAACTTGGACTTAGCTGAAAAGCAAAAAAATTAAAATGTTAGTATGACAATTAAAAATGAAGCAATTAAAAACTTCAATAAAAGGATCATAAGTTAACTAAAGACTAAAACTCATAATTTTCACCACACCGACAATGTGTAAGCGACTTACAGCTTGACTATCTAAAAAAAGGTCCCCCAGCGGAGTCGCCAAGATGTCGTAATCATTTTTAAACAATTAATTATTATTTAAAAAACAATTATGACTTTAATTCGGAAAAAATTGGTAATTTTGAAATAATTGGAATTAAATTGAATGGGAGTCGCCATCGACCTTTGAGTTAGGTAGGTCGAATACCTAAAAACGTCTTTTAAAAACAATTTTAAGAAAAATCATTTTTTAAGACAAATTTTGGTCTACGATTACTAAAGATTTAATTTAAAAGGGTTCAGGAGTCGGTTACGTGTGGGGAAGAATTAGCACCCATACAACGCCCAAAATTGGTACTTAAATCGCTTACACGTTGTCGTAATGGTGATGGAACTTATAAATCGAATACAAAGTTAAATTACGATTCATTTATTGAAATATAATTAATTTGCTTCGAATTAACTATTTAAAGAAAATCCTTTAACTCAATAAAAAATCTTGAAATTTGCAATCTCCCGTCAGGAAAGTTATTTCAACTATTTTTCATTGTTAAAGAACATTCTGTCATCATTGATTTTTCAAAAATTACGAATCGAATATAAATTGACTATTGACCTTTGCATAAATTAAATTGCTATATAAAAACACATTGAATCGCTAAAGATTTAATTAGTAAAATAAATTAAATTTATTTCAAGTCCCATTTAGTTCGAACGTCGTATTAGATTGTACCACTTTGATCAAGTGATACTTTCCACGCCTGTTCTACAAATGCGTGTTCTTGAAACTATTTGAATAATATATCACTCAATAAGGAAATAAGGTAAAAACAAACACAATTATAAATGAAAAATAAAATATTTTCAACATAAAACTAATAACATTTATTAAATGTTATACATAATAATACATAATATAGAAAACATATACATAAGTAAGGGACTGAAATGAAAACAAATAAATATTACAAACCGAAATGAAAACAAATAAATATTACAATCCGAAATAAAAAAAATGAGCAAAAAGTAAGTATTTGAACTTACAAGGACCAAAATAGTATAAATAGGAATTTAAAGGTCCAAAATAGAAGAAAACAACTTAAGGGACTAAAATAGCAAAAACAGACATTAAAATGACTAAAATTGCAAAAATATAAATTTAAAGGATTAAAATAGTAAAAATATAAATTCGGAGAGCTGAAACACAAGTAAAAATAAACCAGATCCACAATAAACAATATTAAGCAATACAGACACTATAAATGCAAATAACCCAAACTAAACTTAAACAATGACTAAAAAATACATCAGAAAGATCTCATGTACTAAATATGTAAATTTCTATTTTCATATAGCAAATAAAGGACTAAAATAAAATGAAAGCAAAGCAAACAGACCATATTTAGTATTTAACCCAATATACAGAAGCAATGATCAAAATGTAAACTTTATAAAAGTAGAGTATAATGTTGAAATTTACAAAATATTAAAAATACACTGCAAAGTGACCAAGATACAAACTTTACAAATTTGAGGCATGAAATACAAAATAAATAAAATAGAATATGTGACCATAACATAAATCTACAAAACACGGAAACCCATCGAATATAATTTGCCCACGTTGAAATTTCAAACATACCCTCCCCTAAACGGTGCCGTTTTGGACTTAGTATTTAATGGAAGACGATAGGCTTTAGCTCGGTAAGTCTCCCCACTTTTCATTTTCTTTTCTCTCTCTAAACCAAAAAACCCCAAACTCTCTGACTTCTCTCTTTCCTTCTTTCTGTACCCCTCCGTCTTCCATCGAGGATTGCAACCCCAACTCCCCGGCCACCGTAAATCAGTTGACACGGGGAGAAAACTATGCCACTCAACCCCTCTTTTAAATTCGTATCTCTTTTCCTATTTTAGAAAAGCTCCCTAACCTACTTAAAATACCCAAAAACTCTCCTTATTCTAGACCTTAACCAACCCTAGAAGAGTAAAAGGTATTGCCTTCAAGGTTGAGCCTCCTTAGTTTCGATGAGGTTGCTACTAGACATAACTCAAGGGCAAGTTTTGGGGTTTTGTTTTCTTTTTTCTTCTCTCTATATTTTTTCTCTGTTTTCTTTTCTAATCTCTCTGTGTTTTCTATTTTTTTTCACTCACCCCCGAATACCCTCTTCTCTCTCATCCTCAATGTTTTTTATGTTGCATGTGTGATTGGTGGATGAAATTGGCAGAGCTTTTTGATAGTGAATGATTTCCCTATGCTTTTAGGATAGATTTCTTGTATATTTGTTCTTTGTGTTGATGTTGATTGACTTTTGGGTCATTGTAGATTGAAACAAACAACATGACAGTGGCGGCAAAGAGCTCTGGTGGCGACGTACATGAGCGGGAAGCTGAAGGATTGGCTCGTGCATCACACGTGCGTCAGATCAGACGGTCCATGTCCACTGGTGGTGGTGGTTATATGTCATTTAGGGTTAAAACCCTAATCCGAGTCCCCTTAGACCATTGGATCAAATCTGATCCAACGGCTGAAATCTAGGGCGGCTAGGGCTTTAAAGTGAAAACCCTAGTCGGGTTTGGGTCGAGTCTGGACCAGTATGGGTTTAGCTGTTGGGTCTGTTGAGTATTGGGCTCTGGGTGAGATGGTTGTATTGTTGGGCTTCGGGATTGGGTCTTTGGGTGACCTGTTGTAATATGCAAAATGTAATTAAAATAATAAATAATCATAATCATAATAATTAATAAGAATAATAATAATATACTAATAATGTTTTTTCGAAACCCGAACAAAAATAGGTGTCTACAGACACGTGTCATGATTTAATTGGAGATTAAATTTATTTTAATTGGATTAAATTATGATTAAAATGATAGAATGTATAAACATTGAGAACCAAATATGTCATTATACTAAATATGTAATTATAAAAATAGACACCCCTTTACTATTGTTCAATGCCCAATAGGTGCTTTGTTTTCATCTTTCATTTTCTCACTTAACAAGATGGTGACTTGGAGGAAATATAAATTGGAACAAATAGATGAATAATTATAAAAAATATATCTTCAAATTAGGTAGTGACACATGTCATTATTTAATTAGAGATTAAATTTATTTTGATTGAATTAAATTATGACTAAAATGATAAAATGTATAAATATTAAGGATCAAACATGCAATTGTACTAAGTTTTTTAATTGATAGGTCAACTCCATTAAAAGTTAACGGTCAGTGGTTTGATTGAAGCATTTAAATAGTTAAGTGATCTGATTGATATTGAAACGTCGATGGTCAAAATGAAAGGGGTTAATAGTTTAGTAGTCACCTGTGTAGTTTACCTTATTTTTTATTAATATAATAAGAAATTTATCTTTTAACCTTAATACATGAGATCAATTTAGTCATAATTTTTACAAATATCTAATAACTATAAATTATGTAAATTATATGTTAAATTATAATTAGAATTTAATTAACATAATCTATAAATCTCAATGACTGATTTATTATTATATCAATGAAATTATTTAAAATTTACAAAAATATATTAAAAATGTGATTAATTATCCTTAATTATTTAATTTTAAAATTGACTAAGAATAAATTGCTCCTTTTTCAAGGATCAAATTTGGTCACTTTTAAAATTTAGACGGACTTAAGTGGTCATTTTATCCATTTTTATGTCAATGTGAGCATATCCGGTTATAAAGGATATTTTGGATTGATTTTTGAGAGAGCTGATCGATGATTTGCGATTTATTTGTCATTTTATTTGTCATTTTATTTGCAGCGACAGAAGGTTAGAAAGCGACTACTTCCTCTTCATGATTCACAAATTTGTTAGCGCCATTATATTATCCGTATTTGCACCATACACCCTTTGACTTCTCTTAGTTTTTGTTTAACCTCACAAAAAGAAGCATCTTTTCAAATTCATTCAACTTTTATAACAATAACAATGTTCACTGAAATGAGATCCAGTCCAAAAAAGTCAATACTTTAAAATTTTGTTACATATTTATATAACAAAATTTTCAATTAATGATTAAAAATAAAAAATATGAAAAGAAATAAAAAAATTAGTAACAGATAAATATGAATTTTTACATGGAATGTGGCTAAAACCAATTAAAATAGATTCTTTTTGTTAATTGACAAAGAAAAAAAATAACATAATTAGAAAATATTAGTAACTAAAATTGACGGGGAATTATAAAAAAATATATCATAAAAAATATTCAAACTATATTAGTAAAATAAAATATATTATTTTTTATTTAATTTTTGAAAATACTTTTTCTCAAAACAAATATTTGAAATTATATTTTTTTAGCTAAAATAGATATTCAAAATATTTTTTGATTAAAATAAATATTTAAAGTATTCAATTTTTGTTATCTAAGATTTAAAAAGGTTGACACATGACATTAATTAAAAGCTATTTTAAATAATTAGATAAAAAAATTGAATATTTTAAATATTTATTTCGATAAAAAAATAATTTAAATATCTATGTTTGTCGGAAAAAAACTTTATGTATTTATTGAATAAAAGAATATTTGAAGTATCTAGATAAAAAATGATATACTTTATATAGTTATTTGTTATATAAGCCTACAGAAAGGGTGAAATAAAGGTGCAAAGCTTGAGAAAGAACATAAAATATCTTGTAGATTACAGCAGCTAAAGATCACAGCAACCGACAAACAAAATGAGCAGATGAACAGAACAAAAACTGCTTTAGAACCAGAACCCAGTATTAAATCCAATCTCTCTGCAAATCCCAGGTTTCACTTTTCTCTGAATTATGCTGTAACATTTGTTTTATTTAATTTCTATGATATGTACCTTGATTTTTGCTTTCCAGAAAATGTTTTTATTGAGTTTCTTTTGATTGGCTGTTTCATTTGGTTTGATTTCTGAGTTTTTTTTTTCATGTAAAGTTTCTTTCTTTCTGGGTTCCATGAAATAAAGTTTGCATTTTTTATATGTTTATTTTGCATGATTTTGGTGAATCCGAGGGAAGCTGTAGGAATATTAATTCCATGATCTTTTTAAGCATTATAATTTATCTGAGTGAAAAACACAAAATATAATTCTTATGTTTAGCTCTATTATTTCTTTAATTTTGGTTTTTATATTGAGAATTGAACATAATTGTTGAGAAAATTAATTAAATAATGTAATTTAATTAACAATATTGGCAGATTCACTATACTGTTGTTCACTACAGATGTTTCTTTGAATACAGATCATAAAAGTATCTAAGAGAAAAATCTTGGTTTCCCCTATAAAACAAAGCTTTGATGATGGAGTCGAGTAGAAATGACTCGTTTACAAGCGATGAGAATGTGCCAGAAATAGTGTGCCTCTCTATCATTGTTCTTGGTGCCTCTGGTGATCTTGCCAAGAAAAAGACTTTCCCTGCTCTCTTTCATCTTTATTCCCAGGTTAGGTGTTATGTTCATTGATATCTTACATTCGAGCAAAAATGAAATCGATATAAGTCTTACTCCATATGGAGTTATCAGTTGTCTTTGCTGACGGGCTGAACATGGTGCAATGGGATGTTAACCTTGGAAAAGGACGTTGTGCATGCAGGGATTTCTACCACCTGATGAGGTGCATATTTTTGGCTATGCAAGGACTAAGATTTCGGATGACAAATTGAGAAATCGCATTCACGGGTGAGAACATCGTTCCTCTCTTTCGAAAAGAACAAAAGAGATAAAGTTTACATTGCTCTACTTCAAGAACTGAAGAATGATTCACAATCACAAATGATAGGTTTGACCGACATTTTAATTGAAATGGCAGATATATTGTCAGTGACAGAAGTGCTTCACCCTCGGAAGATGTTTCAAAGTTCTTAAATCTGGTCAGCACATCACTAGCTATATGTTTTCAACACTTCAATCTTATGTCTATTTGTTAGTTTTAAAAAGCGATTGCAATTATTTGTAGGTTAAATATGTAAGTGGGTCATATGATTCCGCTGAGGGCTTTCAACTGTTAGACAAGGAAATTGAAAAGCAAGAAACCTCAAAATGTAGTCGAGAAGGGTCGTCTCAGAGACTCTTTTATCTCGCACTTCCACCATCGGTATATCCATCAGTTTGCAAGATGATAAGGAAATATTGCATGAACAAATGTACGTAAATGATTTAATTTAGAATGTATTTTCTTTATGTTTGTTTCCTAATTCACCAAAGCCGAGTAAAACTGTTATCTTGAAGGCAAGATAATTTGATTTTTTCCAGCTGATCTTGGTGGATGGACTAGAGTTGTTGTTGAGAAACCATTTGGAAAAGATTTGGACTCTGCAGAGAAACTGAGTTCCCAGATTGGGGAGTTGTTTGATGAGACTCAAATTTACCGTATCGATCACTACTTGGGAAAAGAATTGGTTCAGAACCTGGTAATAAATGTGTAAACAGATGATCTGTGTTTCTTGATTTCTTTATCAGTTCCGCTCATATCTAGCTTTATGGAACTTGCAGTTGGTACATCGTTTTGCTAATCGCTTCTTCTTGCCCCTTTGGAATCGTGACAATATTGATAATGTACAGGTGAGGATCCTTCTTTTGTGGATGTTTAAAAATTCGAAGATGCTACGGTGAAGGTTTAATTATTCAAGGATAGGCCTTATAAACTTACTGGGATTGGTTTCCATATCATTGCCACAAGTTACATCAGTATATGTTTATGTAGTTATGTTCACTTCAAAAAGGAAAAATGTCAAAACCATCGTTAACCTGACATAGCTCTGTTATTTGTCAAGATATAATATTCTTTTGATATTGATCTCTATATTCTTTGTTTCTTTTGGCAGATTGTGTTCAGGGAGGATTTCGGAACCGAAGGTCGTGGTGGATATTTTGATGAATACGGGTAGGCTTCATTAGTACTTATCTCAAAACCATATTGTATTAGAAAATTTATGAAGAATCATGCACCTTCTCCAGACATTAACATAAAGAGAATATGTTAAGTATCTGCTTTCTTAGGTATCTTCCCTTTAATGTTCCTTGTGCAGAATTATCCGCGATATTATCCAAAACCATCTGTTGCAGGTAAGGTCATTACTAGATATCATACACTTAAAAATGAGGTATTTGCATAACTTTCTGTGTTCAAATTGAGTTGCACTTGTATTAATCTGTTAGTTAGGTGATCCACTGATACTTGTAAAAGTAACTTCATGGATAATTTGCTCATTTTGATTTCTGAAGGCATTACGTTGCTTGACTCGGAAGACGAACATGCTATGTACCGTTAACCTACTTCACTTATTTATTGAGTTCATACCAACTGCAGGTTCTTTGTCTTGTTGCTATGGAGAAGCCTGTCTCTCTCAAACCTGAGCATATTCGTGATGAGAAAGTGAAGGTGCGCATTTTTTCTCTTAGTTGTTTCGTATCGATGCTGTAGAGGAGATGCATATGCATAACAAACCAATTAACAAGTATATGATTGATGTAATATGCCCCACAGTTTTTTGGTTCGTTCGAACTTAGAAACTCTCAAGGCATTGCTTCTGTTCATCATATGCTGATTACCATATGAATTTCAGGTTCTTCAATCATACAACTTAGAAACTCTTAACGCATTGCTTTTGTTCATCATATGCTGATTACCTTATGAAATCCAGGTTCTTCAATCAGTACTCCCAATTAACGATGAAGAGGTTGTACTTGGACAATATGTAGGTTACAGAGATGATCCTACGGTTCCCGACCACTCAAATACTCCGACATTTGCAACTGTTATTCTCCGTTTACATAATGAAAGATGGGAAGGTAGTATAGTTGCATCTTTCCATTTGTTATTTTCTCTCATTAAAATCTCTTTTTGGTGCCACAGCCCTGGAAAATCTTAACTCATTAGTAATTTGATGTTACTTTATCTTTCCATGTCTGAAAATCTGTTGGTCACTGGTTTGTGTGCTTTTCCATTAGATCAAGCGAAGCATAAATTTAATTTGAGCTTCTCACTGGATTTTCTAATTCCGCTGATTGATTTGTGTCAGGTGTTCCATTTATACTAAAGGCAGGGAAAGCTTTGAATTCAAGAAAGGCGGAGATACGCGTTCAATTTAAGGAGGTTCCTGGGGATATATTCCAATGTATGACAGTATATCTATAAGATTCTTTGGAACTTCATATATATGATTGCTTGTTTCAGTAGAGCTGCAACTCTTTTGAAGTATTCTGACATTTTATTTAGGTCAAAAGCAAGGGAGAAATGAGTTTATCATACGCTTACAACCTTCTGAAGCTATGTACATGAAGCTAACAGTGAGTTCCCTTAACTCATCTTATCCATCTGAAAGCTATTAGAGCTATAATTTCCATGTATGCAGAGTTTCCTGCTTGTTGAGTTTCCTTTATGTATCAAGAGAAATCAATAAGTTCTGCTATTTCTGTCCTAAATTTGAACATAATATATTTCAGAACCAACAGTTACCATTTCACATAATCGTAAATATTCAGTTGTCGATCGTGCAGATGTTCCGATGCTCCTTGTGGAAACCTTTAGGCACTGTTGAGAACAAATCCTGAATACTTGATGCCCCTTTTTCATTTTATCAGATTTTAGAAACATCCATATCGATGTTCTATATTTTACTGATATTCAAAGTAGTGTTCTACGAAAACTGCTCATGCAGCCAACCATGAGTGGCAGGATCCTGCGTTTTTAGTTTAAGCTAGGAAACCGTTGCTATAATTTATTGCAAGATCTTTATGTATGTATACTGATTTGCATTTTGTCTTTGTTGTAGGTGAAGCAGCCTGGTCTGGAGTTCTCAACGGTGCAAAGTGAACTGGACTTGTCATACAGGCAACGCTATCAAGGTGTTACGATCCCAGAAGCTTATGAACGTCTTATTCTTGACACGTACGATCCTTTCCTTTCCTGGTCGTCGAAATATTCTTATTCATAATCCTTTAATCTTCCTGCTTAAAACGAAATGCATCATTTTTCATCTGAGCTTCAAACAATAGGGTCTAAGGTGCTGAAGTGATGATCGATGGAATCTGTTTTCTGGTTATGCAGGATAAGGGGTGATCAGCAGCATTTTGTACGTAGGGACGAGTTAAAGGTAAGAATTTGTGACGTGTATGCTTGGGAAGAAGATAATATCTTGTGGAAATTTGAACCAACATTCATATTTCTCTAATCAACAGGTGGCATGGAAGATTTTCACGCCACTTCTGCACCGGATCGACAATGGCGAAATGAATCCGTTTCCATATCAACCGGGCAGCCGTGGTCCTGCAGAAGCAGATGAGCTTTCAGCTAAAGCTGGTTATGTTCAAACAGATGGATACACTTGGATTCATCCAACCTTGTAGAAACTAGCTAACTAGCGGCATTCCATCTCCATTTCCATACAAGTCGAGGTATAGACGACGTTCATATCACATCCAACAAAATGCAGCCATATAAGACTGTTATCCGAACCATCGGTTTATAGCATGTTAATGTTATGGGTAAATTATATCATTGACTAGCAAAATATTTAACCCTTTTATTTTTGTCACTGTTCTTTCAATTTTGTCAGTTGGACCACGTAACTTTTAAATTATTCTCAATTAAACAATTAACAATTGATAGAAATACTGACATGACAGTTAAAAAATTAATATATTTATACATCTAGTCTTTCAAATTTATATATTCTCAATTTGGTTTTAATTTAATTTAATAAATTAATCATTCAATAAGGATTTTAAGGATTTGACGTGATAGCACAAGATCATAGTGTTATTAGTGATACGTGTTAATGCATTATTAGAAGATATTATTTATTAATTTTAATTTATTTGACACATATGTGATTGGATAAAAAACAAAGGAACACTATACCACTCTTAAGTGGAAGCGATCCAACGTCTAAAGGGGAAATCAGGAGTGCTCCAACCACTACACTAAATGTTCTTAATAGTTCAAATCTCGCAACAAATGTTATTTATCCTTTAAAAGCTTATTAATGGGGAAAGAAGATAAAAGGAAAAAGAAAATAGAATTAGAACCTAACTAAATTATAAAATAAAAGAGCACATAAATAATTTAAAAATATAATATTTTATTTATATATTAAATCATTATATATATATATATTAAATTATAATTAATGGAAGATTTACAATAAAAATAAATTTAAGATTTTTATAATTTAAAAATAATTTTTATATTTTTATATTTTAAACATTAAATTTAATATTTCTAGATAAATTATATTTAATATTTAATTTTAAAATATAAGAAATGAAATTATAAAAATAAATATAAAAATATTAAATTTAAGATTTATAATAATATTTTTATATTTTAAAATTTACATGTATCATTATCTAATTGGAATTAAAATATAAAAAAATTATATTTTAAAAATATTAAAATATTATAAATATATTTATTTTTAAAATATAAAAATAAAATTATAAAATAAATATAAAAATATTAAATTTAATATTTACAATGATATTTTTTATATTTTAAGATGTACACGTATCATCACCTATTGCTATTAAAATATAAAAGTATAAAAATATTAAATGTATTTTTATTGTAAATCTTTCATTAATTATAATATATATATAATGTATTTAGATATAAATAAAATATAAGATTCTTTTAATTGTTTATGTGCTTTTTTATTTTATAATTTACCTAGGTTCTAATTCTAATTTTCTTGTACTTCTATTATCTTTTGCCCTTGACAAGCTTTTAAAGGATAAATAAATTTGTTGTAAGTTTAAAATGTTGGGTACCTTTGGTGTATTGGTTGAGGCACTCTCCATTTTCCTTATGGATGTTGGTTCAATTCCCTTTAAGTGGTGTTTCATGTTGCTTTATTTTCTATCCAATTCGGTGGTGACATGTGTGTTATTTCATGTTTATTTATTTTTTATCCAACCGGGTGGTGACATGTGTCATCTCCTAATTGGATAAAAATTATTGAATTAAATAAACTAAAATTAATAAATTAAATTTTCCAATAATGTATTGACACATGTCACTAACGACATGTGTCATGATACTATGCTGATACGTGTTAGATCCTGATTGAAAGACTAATTTAATTTATTAAATTAAATTTAAATTAAGACCAAATTGAGATAATATATAAATACTAAGGAATAAATGTATAAATATACTAATTTTTTAACTGTCACATCAGTATTTCTGTTAATTGTTAACGATTAATGGCTTACTTGTCAACAAATAAATAGTTAGGTAGTCTAATTGACAAAATTAAAAGACCGGTGGTAAAAATAAAAGAGTTAAATTGTAACACCCCAATTTAGGGGCTAAATTATAGAAATTATAAAATGGTGAATTTAATTGAAATTTTGGAAGGAAATTGAGGATTAAATTGTAAAATAGTAAAGTTGGCAGACCATTTTAAGAAGTGTAGGAAATTCAGTGGCTTAACCCATGATTTACCCATTTTTATTTTGGAGAGAATTATAAATCTCTCCCCCGTATGTTCAGCACAATATTTTCCCAGTTTTCCCTTCTCCAACAACCCTCTTTTCAATTCCGATCTACTCGTCGTCCGACCTCCGATCGACGAACCGAAACCACCATCGTGTTCGTTATCGACCGAGGAACAAAACCCCTCAAACCTTTCGTTATGAATCGTCACCGTTCGTCGTTAATTTCAGTCGGAATTATCGTCGGTAATAACTCGATTTCAGTTGGTTTTTCGTCGATTCACGACGATCCGGTCATCCATTTACGACACCTCATGCACAATCGTGTTCCTTGCATCATTTCGAGTCCACTGGTGTTCTCCGTTTTTCCGTCGTCGTCGGCGCGTGGAGGGGTGAGACCGTTAAAGTTTCTTACGTTTCAGAATCGAGCTCTCCGCCGTTCAAAATTGTGAACCGAGCTTTGTAAGTGCCTCAAAATCACTTAAAAAAATTTTTAGGAATTGTTTCGGGAATTTTCCGACACCGTAGCACTGTTCACGTGCCACCCCCGGAGAGTGGGCATCGTTTGGGTGTTAATTTTGTAATTAATTTCTGTTTGGGTGCTATTTGTGTAAAATTCGGGTGTTAGTTTGGTAAATATTTGCAGAATGTGACTAATTTGGTAATTAATTTCTGTTAGGGTGATATTTGTGTAAAATGGTCGACTGTTGATCGTTGACCGGCGTTGACCACAGTTGACCAGAACTTTGACCAGCTTTGACCGGGCATTAAACGACCTTTGACTTCGACCGAATATACATATCCTAACGTTTTTCGACGTTCCGAATCCGATTCCGTAGTCCGTTTTTTGAAATTCGGACCCGAAGGCCTCGAAATATCCAGTCAAACCCGTTGACTTTGATTTTGATCAAAAATTCCAAATTTTCGAAAAGTCATATTTTATGCTTTCGACGTCCTAAATCCGAATCCGAATTCCGTTTTGCCAAATTCGAACTCGATAAGTTGTTTTCACTTATTTAACATTCGATTCGATCCGTTTTTCAGAATTAAGCTCCGTTTTTTATGTAATTTCTGTTGATATGGATTTGAGGAAATATTGGAAGATGATTTCAAGATCGAGGGCGTTCGAATGGAAATTTTATGGTCGATCAGTATGGCACAGAAATCGAGATAATACATTACTACCTCTTTATGCTTTATAGAACATGTTGATATTGGTAAATGAATGAATGAAAATATTTGGTCTCATATGTGTAAGTAATGAAGTTCTACACTCGATATGAATGCGGTAGAAAGTAGGTAACTGAATATGGCTCAGATGACTATTATAAGAAATTAAAGGACAATTAGAATTAAATTACAAGTTCTGGAATTAAGTGATAAAGGAATCAGCCACGGATATGTAGTTTATAATTTATTTCATTAAATGTACTTAGATGATAAATTATGAGAATATTTCGATTAGGTAAAATTACGAAAATACCCTTATGTTGTAGGATGACAAGAATTGTCCCTCGAAGTTGGTTAATAACTCTGAAAAGACATATTGATCCGATATAAATATTGATGTGCATAAGAAATGTTAGTTTTACTTGAAAATTATGGATAACCGGTTTTTAATCCTATGAGGGTTTGTGAATGATACTATAAGGCTGTTAAGATAATCATTTCAAGATCAGAGATTGTTCAAGAAAGAAATTAATCATAGGATCTCTAAATTATATTATTTTCGTTAAGAGTTAATATCGAAATTATCTGGTTAAGAAATTACGGAAATGCGCTTGAGAGGTAAAATAGTCTGAGTTGACCCTGAATGAGAAAGTACTTTAAAGATTTGTACTTAACTTGATTAAGTACGAAATTGTTTGTTAAGATTCTGACTTAGTGCAGAAAAATTCATGATATTCCGTTTGTAAAATCTGAGAAGGCACTTGACCCGAAAATATTCGAGTAATGAGTAAATACCTGAAGAATAATTTATCGGGGGTATTTTTCTGTCAGAATTGTTCGAAAGAACTGAAATAAATTATAAGATTGAATTTAATAGTAAGATCGAACGGAAGAAAATGATTAGAATACACTGAATCTGTAGAATGACCAAAATACCCCTGTAATGGAAATGATCCAAGAATACCACCAAGCTCAGGAATGATTGGATATCCTTCGAGCTCTGAAATGAATGGAATAAAAATGAATACCAAAATTACCAAAATACCCTTATAGCCTATACTAAGTAAATGCCTTGGATTAATTAAGGAATCCAAATAAGCATAAGTGTGGGACTACTTTTAAAAGTTATGGAACACAGCTTAAGTGAGCCAATCAACCCTAAAGTTATATCAATACCTGAATGGCATATATATTACTGGAATGCGTGTTTGTCTTCTCAAGTTTGGTTCTATGATAAATTTTGGAAGTATTCAGCTCAGCTCAACTCTAGACCGCATTCAGTACTAAGAATTGGACGTTTGTTCGACAAATCAACCACGAAGACCAAATTGAGTGGAATAGAAGTACAACATGTATCTGAAATTCAGGAACATTTGAATTACTCTGAAAAATCCCGAAGTAACTGGAATGGACTTGAATGCTAAATAAATTAAGTAACCTCAATGAATGAGGATTAAATAAGTGATTTGGATGAATCTGGAAATGTTAATGAACATACATGATGTAATGTTCTTATGGATCATGAATTACAAATCAAGCACGTCAGCATTTCATGATATAGTGAAAGTGTGAACATGAAATAAAGACATTGGAAGATTTATTTAGCGATGATTCTGAAGTTGAAATATGGACTAGAAATTATGGTATTAAAGAGTAAATATCCTGGAAGAACAATGAATTGACCAATCGATAAGCATTAGTTCTAGGAACTATTCATCTAAGAGTTGTTCGATAATCAGATCAAACGATATATTTTGTATAAAGATTTCTGAACACTTTCCTGATGCACATGAATCATATCGGAATTTTAAAGTATCAACCTTAAATGTCAGATTAGATTGGTTAGCAATCGATTCCCTTCAATAGGACCTCATTTTTAGAATCTGATCAAAT